CCCCCCCCCCAAGATGATTACAGAGCTTGGGACATTCAGAAAAGCGAACTTTATAAACCAGAACAAACTTACTACCCCCCTACCGTGAAATTTGGAAACTCAACCACATTCCAAGATGACTACGTTCCTCAGGAAACGCAGCCCAGGCAGAACTTCAAACCCAGCAACGTGGCCAAACGCCCCACGGTCCCTTTCCACGGGGACACGAGCCACCGCCTCGATTACGTGGCTCACCAGCTGGAACCCAAGTTCGCTCGGCCGAAGGAAGTGTACAGGCCTAGCCCCCGGCCCTTCGAGGACCTCACAACCCACCGATGCGCCTTTCGGGGGCTTTTCGGTGAGACCGCAAAAACCTGCCGACCTGCGCACGCCCGGGTGGCCCAGGATGCTCGGTTTGAAGGGAGCACCGAGTTCCGTGAAAGTTTCCAGCCCTGGGAAATCCGGCCCCCCGAAGCCAAGAGCGCGCAGGAGTACGTCCCTCCTGCGGGGGCCATGCAGCTGCACAGCACCAGCCGCCTGGACTACGTTCCCTACCAGGCCCCGCGCGTCGCGCCCCTCCGGCCCGTGTCTCAGAGGAGAAAGGACAAGTTTCCTTTCCGGGGCAGAAGCACCACGCAGGAAGATTTCCCAGCGTGGGAGAGTTCCCGCCGGGGGCCCATCAAAAAGCAGCAGCAGATTCCCAACCCGTCGGGAAAATTCGACGGTCTGAGCACCTTCAGATCGCACTACGTGCCCCACGAGCCGGTCCCCACGCAGAGCTGCAAGCCCTTAAACGCCGCCTTCCAGAGCTCTAGTCCATTCGACGACGTGACCATGTACTCCACCGAGTACACCCCGAAGCAGCAGGAAGTCTGCCCCGCCAGCTACCCTTCCCCCCCGGGTTACGTCTTCGAAACCACCAACTCCCGAGGTCATAAGTTCTTCCGCAAGATCACGCCCGCCGTGGAGGCCTCCTAGCCCGCAAGCCGTCCTGAAGAGGAGAGTGGCTCAGGGGACGCTGGCTCTCCAAGGGCAAAACCAATGGTTTAAAGTAGAAAAAAAAAAAAAAATTATGAGAGAGCTAAATACAAATCATCTTTAAATTTTTTAATCAAGAAAACTGGAAGACGTATCACAGGAAATCAGGATCTCGAAATCCATCTTGCGTTGACACCGTCACGAAGACTGCGCTTTCGTTCGTTCGCTTTTCCAAGCCGGATGGCGCTTCCCCGTCGGAGCTACTTTAATCTCCGATGCGCTGTTTAGTTCCATGTCTCCAACCTGCCGCCGCCGATACTTGTGTTTATAATTACGCCGGTTACCATTTATCAAGCACCCTAGAACCGCCTACACCGCCACTCAGTCTCTTCCGAGACAAGAGTCTTCATTTCCCTCAGGCATCAGGCATCTGCTGTGTACGGAGTCGAGCTTCGGAGGCCGCCCCCCGCTGCGTTCACATCAGCAAGAGCCACCGTGGTGTGACAAGGAGAGGCCCTGGAGGCTGGGAATCAAGGGATCCGAGTTCAAGTCCCCAGGACATCAGATTCTACCTGTGCCACCCTGGGCAAGCGCCTCGTGTCTCTGAGCCTCGGTGTCTTTCTCTGTAAAATGGCACCTGCCCCGCCTCCCTCGCAAAAATTGTCGAGTGCATCGGATCACACGATACGTCGTCGCCCAGAGTCAAAGAGCTGAGCGGATGTCAGGGACTGCTAGTCGGTCACCCCATCTCTTCCTGCGCCTGCTTCTTCCGAATCAGAATAGCCACTTCCCGGCCTGGACAGGGGCCGTAAAACGCCCTGGCTTGTGCCAAGCTTACCAGCAGCGTGATTTCTGAGAAGTCGTCCCTCTGAAGCGCCTGAGAAGTTGTCACGGAGAAGGGAGAGCTTGGGCTGGCGAGGGTAACGGGGTTTGAATGACAGCACTGTTTCCAGGCAGGAGGGAGCACTCGCTAGGGCAGTTTCAGGAATGACGGGCAGCTCTGAAGAAAGCGTCAGGGTCGCCTCCTGGCCCCGATGGCCACGCCCAGTCGCAGCTCAGAACTGGGCTTCGTGTGGCGCATACTGCACCCTGCTCATCCCAGAAAGAACGCGTTGCCTCTGTTAGTGCTGAAAATGTAACGCATTAAACCCTTACTACCTGTGTGTGTTTTTGGTAAACGACTGCATTATGCGAGCATATGATTTACCCTAAAGTTTAATCTTTTGTAGCTTTCGATTTGGTTCAAACCATGTTACTTCATTGAGAATAAGCCCATTTGGTTAAACCGTTTTTAATTACTTGAAAGTGATTTGTTTTAATTTACTTTTGTACTTACTAATATTGTGATGTGTAAGATTTTCTATTTCTCTGCAACACTAATCAAGTATCAATAAAAAGAATGAAGTTGTTTCCGTGCCCAATTTTCCTTGGAAAATAGAGCTTTTACTAAAATCTTATCTAGGCTCACCTGTACATAACTCGATATTCTTACCTTTTTAACAGGAACTATTACAATACACTCAAAATGGAGAGCTGGGGACCACCGCAGCACCTCAGCCTGGCCCATTTCCTGGCGCCGGGCACCCAGGTCCCTCTGTGGGTGGTCCCCTCCCTGTGAATCCACGGGGGTTCCCGAGTCAGTGTGCCTTGGACTCAGGACACGAAGATGAAGGGGGAGGTCTCCCCAAAGCCCAGCGCTCAATGTAACAGGTGTGAATACAGGGCTGGAGCAGTAGCTGCGGGACAGGGCAGCCCCTGGGGGCCCAGAGCCGGCTTCCTTACGGGGACAGCGGAGCTGAGCCTCACTATTATTGCTCAGGCCGCTGTAACAAAATGCCACGGACTGGGTGACGTCCAACGCAGAGAGGAGTCTGAGATCGGGTGTTCGCAGAGCCGGCTTCCCTCAGGCCGTGAGGGGGAGTCTGTTTCGCTGGCCGTTTGCTCCCTGGCCTGTGGGTGTCCGCCTTTATCTCCGCGTGGTGTTCTCCCTGTACACACTCACCTGCGTCTGAATTTATATAAAAAAAATCAAGTCATATTGGGGTCCACAGACATAGGACCTCACCAGCGTCACCCACCCTAATAACCACACCTCAACTGAATCATCCCCAAAGGCCCCGTTTCCAAATAAGGTCTCATCGTGGGAGTGAGAAAGTTTGGGGGGTGGGGGTGGGACACAATTCAACACCCCGCCCCCAAAGATGGCAAATAAGCATATGACAAGATACTTTTCCTCTCTCTCCCGATGACGCTTTCCACTCCCAGGAACCTATGTGAGCCTTAGTGAAACAGAGAAAAAAAAAAAGCCGTGGCCGGGTAGCTCAGTCGGTTAGAGCATCATCTGGATACACCAAGTTTGCAGGTTCAATCCCTGGCCAGGGCACATACAAAAGGCAACCCATGAGCCCGGCCGGCGTGGCTCAGCAGTTGAGTGTCCACCCATGAACTAAGAGGTTCCGGGTTCGATTCCAATTTCAGGCTCGATACCCAGTGAGGGGCATGCAGGAGGCAGCTGATCAATGACTCGCTCATGACTGATGTTTCTCTCTCTCTCTAAAATCCATAAAAAACGTATTTTTTTAAAAATCGACCAAGGAATGCGTAAATGGGTGGAATAACCAACCGATGTTTCTCTCCCCATTGCTCTCCCTTNTTTTTTAAAAATCGACCAAGGAATGCGTAAATGGGTGGAATAACCAACCGATGTTTCTCTCTCTCCCCATTGCTCTCCCTTCCCCCCCCCCAAAATAAATATTTTTTAAAAGGAAGAAAGACAAATGCTCACGTTTGAGGCATCTGAGGTGCACCAGCCACATGGGGTGAACACAGTCTCAACGTCACTGCAAAACGATTGCTTTCGTTTTTCCAATCAGACCTTGGAAACTCCAAGGCCTTTGGCAAATGAAGGGGAATCTCAATTCCGAGACCAGGACTATTGTCTCTCAGCCTCACTGCTAATCCTGAAGGGCCGGAAGGTGGGGGAAAAGGGGTCACTCACCGATTACTGGTCAACCTCCCGGCTCAGTCCCTGAACCCCTCACACCAGACAACCCCTCACCTGGCTACCACCTGCGGCTACACCTGTTTCCGGCCGTCTCTTTGGGACTTCGTTCCAACCCTTCTTGCCTTGACAGTCTTTCAACTCCCGATTCACAGGACGTGGACGGTGGGGATGCGGGAGCTGAGAGGAATCTCCGTGTGACCTGCCCTGAATCTTGTCACCCACACTCCGGGGCATCGGACCCATCAAGGTTGGCCCTGGACCCATAGGAGGCAGCCAAGGTGACAAGACCCAAGGCTACCAAAAAAAAAAAAACCCAACAAAACCCCGTAACGCAAAAAAGCCACCTGCTTCGATAAGGATGCCGCTAAATAAACAAATTTATTTCCGAATTACTTAAGGGTCACGAAAGAGAAAAACGTCAATTTCTGTTGTAGAAACAGTAGTAAAACACAGTACACAGGAACGTCCTTCGGGCGATTACGACAAAAAGTACAGTAACAGCGACTTTACATACAAAGGTGAGTCAATAGGAAATTCTGTTAATAAGAAAAATATATGCCCCTTGTCTTTATTACACACTGTACAAAATAAAATATCGCAGCCTTAAGGCGCCGAAGTATATACAAAGGGTATTTTACAAGTGATCTCTCTCTTAATTTAAGGGCCTTCAGCAATCAAGCCTCGATCGATCGATCAGCAACACACAGGCTGGCGTGTCCTCTGCACGTGCCCCCCTGTGCCCAGACGCCACCCCCGCCCCTTACAGCAGTGCCCACCGTAGTGTCCTCGAGGCTGGAGCGCGACAGGCGACCGGGGGGTTCAGGATCCGGCAGAGGGACCCAGCGGGCGTGTCCACAGACAGAGCCAAATGTGCTGCTCACTCACGAGGGACCCGGGACCACGTCCTGCACAACCCGCCGCGTCACGGGACTTGGCTGCTGCCAGGCCGCAGGCAACATCGGCATGGGCAGCTGGGACGGCGAACGGGCAGGGACACTTGCTGTGGGACGTGGGGCATCTTAAAGCCGTAACCGCTGGGATATCAGGGGAAAGAGCCCCATAAAAATCAGCTTTAGCCCTGGCCGGGTGGCTCAGCTGGTTGGAGTGTGTCCTGTGCATGGAAATGGGTTCGATTTCCAGTCGGGGCACATACCCAGGTTGCGGGTTTGGTCCCCGGTTGGGGTGCGTGCAAAAGGCAACCAAATGATGTTTCTCTTTCACATTGATGTTCCCGCTCTCTCTCTTTCTCTCTCTAAAAATCAACAAACAAATAAAAAATAAAAATCAGCCTTAGAACTTACAATGTAATGCTAGTTCCCAAATTACTTCAGCAGCAACAGTGGCTCCAAACTCAACATCCAGCCCGGCCGGCCTGGCTCAGCAGCTGAGCGTCGCCCTAGGGACCAGGAGGTCGCGGTTCCGTTTCCAGTTGGGCCACAGGCCCGGCGTGCAGGCTCCTGGATCCCCAGCAGGGGGCGAGCAGGAGGCAGCCGATCCATGACTCTCATCATTGATGTTTCTCTCTCTCTCCCTCTCCCTTCCTCTCTCTGAAATCAACAAAAATATATTAAAAAAAAAAAATTCAACATCCACCCTGACACCATCCCTAACACCAGCCTGGGCCTCAATCTAAACTCAACCCAACTCCGACCTAACCTGGCGCGAACCCCAAGTCCGAAAGCCAACTCTAGCCTTAACCCCAACTGAACTTCCATGCTCATGCAGCCCAACCCGAAAACTAAAACTAACCCTACGCGTGTCCACCGAACCCTAATGCCAACCCTCGTCCTAACTCTAACGTCCAGACAAACCCTAATTCACTTCGGATGTACCGAAAAATCAGCCCAAATTAAAACAAGTATCTACCATAGACCATTTTTCCCAACTATTGTGTTTCCTATTTAGATTACTTTCTTATAATTTTTCCAAAATGAAAAATCCTTAGGGATACCACTTTATGCACAAATTAGGTCTCGTAAGGCTTTGACTTTTTTTGACTGTGTGCAAGAAAATAGTGCTCAGGGAAAAATCTCATTCACAGCTCGTAACACGTTGAACATACGTCAAAAATCAGTAGAAAAGGTTAACTTTCCTTTGATTTCCAAGATGCCTCGTTGGGTCACCCATCCATCAATTTCCATCACTGTGAGAACGACAGTGACACTTTCATTTTCGAGATGCCACCCTCCCCCCAAAACCGGGATCCTTGGACCAGTGAGTGTTACAAACCTGGCCAGAGTGACTGTCTCTCTTTCACAGACGAAACTGAAGGATCCATAAAAATGCCGTTAGCGCCAACATGTTACCAACCACTGGCCAGAGCTGCTAAAAAATGCAAACGCCTGCCTGGCTGGCGTGGCTCAGCGGTTGAGCATTGACGCCTGAACCAGGAGGTCAGGGTTCGATTCCCGGTCAGGGCACATACCCAGGTTTTGGGCTCGATCCCCAGTAGGGGGCGTGCAGGAGGCAGCCGAGCATTGACTCTCATCGTTGATGTTTCTCTCCCTCTCCCTTCCTCTCTCTGAAACCAATAAAACATCTTTAAAAAAATAATAATAATAAAATGCAAATGCCTTATCAACCTGCTGATGCCCTAAAACTGGAGAGAAGAGAAAGCCATCCATCGGTCGCTATGTTTCCCGTCTTCCGGGTGCCCTACGCTGTAGCAGCCCACACATCACAGGGAGCAGCCGCCGAGACACCCACGGTGACCCTGGCGACCGCCTGACCGGAAGGCGCGATGAGGTCCCGAGTGCACGGCACGCCTGCTGGGGCGCTTCGGCTGGTCGGTCCTGGGATATATCACTGACCGAGTCGGAATCACAAACCGGCCATGAGGGGCAAACGATGATAGAAAATTTTACCAGAGGCGACCGTGCATCGGCCTGTGTTGGACGGCAGAACCAGAGTTTTTTTTTTTGAAGAAATACATTTTTTTGGGGAAAAGGGCTTTTCAACTTGTTTTATCTTCACAGCAGCATTGCGACCCCTGCAAAGGTTCATTTTATCCCACGTGGCACGACCGGCAGCACCTCTGTCCGTAGAGGTCCAGCGAACACAAGTCAAGACGCTTTACGAACGTACAGTAGTAAGTTGTGTCTGTGCAGTTTCCTGTAAATGAAACAAAACAACAAAAACATACGTATTTAACACGCAGCTCATCAGAGACCTAGTTAAAAACGCTTTGAGCCCGGCCGGCGTGGCTCAGCGGTGGAGCATCGACCTAGGATCCAGGAGATCGCGGTTCGATTCCCGGTCGGGGCACATGCCCCGGTTGCAGGCTCCTCGATCCCCAGCAGGGGGCGAGCAGGAGGCGGCCGATCAATGACTCTCATCACTGACGTTTCTCTCTCTCCCTCCCTCTCTCTGGAATCAATAAAAGCATATTAAAAAACCACAACTGTCTGATTTTATCAAAAGCATAAATCGAGATCGCAGAGCAAAGAGAAAGAACCAGGCTCTGGTTAGGGGCCGATGCTTTGCGCTGGTCGGAAGCACACTGTTCCCCAGGGACCTCACAGCCCTTCTGGCCCAGGCTGTCCCCTCAGTGCCCAGAGCAGCAATGCTTAGCTTCGGGAGGGTCATGGACCCCTTGCAAACCTGATAAAAGCTACAGACCTTCCCCCAAGAAAAATACATACATGATTAAAATTTTCCATATAATTTCAGGACACTTGCTACCTGTTCAATCCCGTCCACGAATCCCTAAGAGATGACACTACCAGGCACAGGGGAGTCCGTGCAGAGGCTGCCCGGCTTGTTAGAAGGTGGTCACCAGTGCCCCAGACGCCTACTCGCCCGACTGTTGCGTCTCTAAAGAACCCTGAGTTGCACCCACATCAGAGCAGCTCATCTCCTGATGGGCCCCAGATACCACATCCGCTCCGACTGAGCCCTCAGACACGGCACTGACAAGGCCAGCACCACGAGGGTCCGGTCTGGTCTGAGTGAGGTTTTGGGGGTGGCTGGGATACCTGGGAGGAGTACGTGTGGTCACAGGAAGGCCCAACACAGTGCTGCCAGGAAGCTGGTTTCTCCCGCTGCAGGCAGTGCTTCTGGGCCACCGGGGCGCAGCTCCTCGCGTGGACACAGTCCACCTTCCGGGACTGGAAGCCCCGGCCGCAGGCCGCCGTGCAGGGCCGCCATGGGCCGGCCCGCCAGCACGCGTCGCAGGCCCCGGACGAGCAGTTGCTCCCAGAGGTGGACCTGAAGTGGAAATAAACAAAAATAACGGAAAGTGGGGAAAGGGGGCGTCACTCCCGGCTGGCATCAAGCCTCTCGCCATACGACGTTTTCAACGTATTCCAGGTTTGACGATCAGGACACAAGGTATCGGGAAACGGGTTTGCGTTTGCTCAGGGTTGACTGTTAGGCAAAGTGGCAGGACGACCGTGACCGTAACGGGGGCAGCGGGTGGCCTGTTCCCGCTGACTTTCAACACCCAGTCACCCTCACTCCCAGACTCCTGGATAGGGAGCTATTTGGACCTCCTGTGCTATTAAAAAAGTCTCCCCCCGGCCGGCGTGGCTCAGAGGTTCAGCGTCAACCTGGGATCCAGGAGGTCAGGGTTCGATTCCCGGTCAGGGCACAGGCCTGGGGTGCGGACTCCTCGATCCCCAGCAGGGGGCGAGCAGGAGGCAGCCGATCCATGACTCTCATCACTGATGTTTCTCTCTCCCTCCCTCTCCCTTCCTCTCTCTGAAATCAATAAAAAAACACATTAAAAAAAAAAAATTACCAGCCCTTGTGCATACACGTTCCAGATGCTTACTGAGGCTTTTTTTTTTGTAATAGCAAAAAAATTCCAAACCATCAAGTGTCCATAGCAATGAAACAAAGTGATTATCGAGGACAATTTGAAAGAATATTCTGAACCTTAATGCATTACGATGGGGGAAAAAAATGTCTATAACGCATAAGCAGAAAAGGCAAAGTTTCCGGAAAAATACACCCGGTATGTTAGAAAGAAAGCTCAGCCCACGTGTGGGTTTCGCTGCAAATCCGTCTCGGGGGACGCAACAGAAAACACACATCAGTCCCCGTAGCAGACATCAGTCTGCGTGTGGCCTCTACGCGGGAAAAGCGGGAAGCGGGCTTGTCTGCCGAGAGCGAAGGCGGCCGTGCCACACGTTGTCCCTTCGGGGAGACAGGCTCCGGCCTGACCTGGGTTGTGAAGGAGGAACCGAGAGCGACATCCCGAGCGTCTCGTACGATCCGGGCTGCCTGAGCTCACTGATCAAAACGTCCCAACCGTCAACTACACGTAATTCCCCATGTTGCAGAACAGGAGGTAGGGAGCCCGAGGTCAGGCGATAAAAGGAAGAACTGTGGCCCTGACCCGGGGGCTCAGCTGGTGGGAGCGTCACCCCGTATACACCAAAAGGTGGCGAGTTCGAGTCCCGGTCGGGGCACATACCCAGGTTGCAGGTTTGATCCCCGGATGGGGCGCGTGTGGGAGGCAGCCAACTGCTGTTACTCTCTCACATCGATGTTTCTCTCTCCCCCCCTCTCTCTCCCCCTTCTGCTCTCTCTAAAACAAAAAAAATATATCAACTTAAAGAAATAAATTAAATAAATAAAATCTCTCAACTGCCCCCGTCGTGAGCCCTCTCAGCTCTCTCCCCACGTCCCGCTGGCTCGGAGACGGAGGTGACACCAGACACAAGGAGCCTGGGTCTCGCGGTGACTTCACGGAGCAAAGCTCTGACCACCGACCGGCTGAGACTTTTATACCAGAGAAAAGCAAACTCCTATCTTATTTAAGCCCCTTGACGGGGTAAGTTGTTTATTTTCTGCTAAACCACCCCACCGATACCCTCATCAAACCCATTTCTAAAGAGGAATCAAGCTGTTCGTGGAAAACGCGAGAAGATTGAATCTGTCAGCCTGAGTGAAACATCACTAGGCTTGATCAACTCTGTATATATTGAGTAAAAAAATATCCGTCTATTCTCAATGCTCCTCTATTTTTTCTCTCTGGGGTGTCTCTCTCTGTATGTTTCACATCCACGCGGTAATTATCAACGGGACGCATTCATTCCCATTTCGGTACAACGCACACTACTGAGGACGGGGCTACGAGAAACCAGTTCACTGGGAGCTGTCAGTTAGGAGAGGCTGTCGCCGGCGGGGACTGAGGCGGGAGGGCGTGCGCGGCCCGCAGCGGGGCCGGTACCTGCTGCGCCGGTCCTCGCAGTCGCCTGAGCCCGAGCTGCTGTGCGGACAGACGACGGGATGCTGCTGTGTCCTCACGGGGCGGCCCGCGCAGCGTCCGGGACACTGGAACGAAGCACAGAGCAGGGGCCCAACCCGGTGAGCTCACGCCTGCCGTCCGCAGGCCGGGACGAGGGGTCTCGGCCCAACCGCCCCGACAGCGTCTGATCTCGGGCTTTCCAGCCTCCAGAACCGCTGAGAAAAGAAACGTCTGCCGCCGCCCGGCCGGCGCGGCTCAGCGGCTGAGCATCGATCGATGAACCAGGAGGTCGCGGTTCGATTCCCGCTCAGGCCACAGGCCCGGGGTTGCGGGATCGACGCCCAGCAGGGGGCGAGCAGGAGGCGGCCGATCCATGACTCTCATCGTCGATGTTTCTCTCTCTCCCTCTCCCTTCCTCTGTCTGAGATCAATAAAAACATATTCAACAACAAAAAAAAAACCCCAACAACATGACAACCACGAGCTCTGTGAGCCTTACCTGGCCCCCTGGCTCCACGACGCACAGGTGGCCGGAGCACGGTGTTCTTCCGGGAGGCCTGCCTGTGGGGTCACACGCTCCCGCGGGCATCACCCACACGGCGCCGCCGGCTTTTGTGCGTTTACACGTCACCCGCCGGACGCGGAATCCCTTGCCGCAGGACACAGAGCACTCGGACCACGGGCTCGCGAACCACCTAGGGACAGAAGCCGCAGGAGCTCAGTGAGGGCCGGTACGTCAGGCCAGCGTCTCAGCGCAGGGAGTGACGGAGTCAGGGGGGAGAACGGCTCATCTCATCCGAGAAACAACAACAAGGACCAGTGTCGACGGAGATCAGGCTGCCAGGCTGGAAGAGAGAAGGGATGAGACGGAACGACAGCCCCGGCCCAAGCACGGAGGGGCCTCGAGTCCTTCCCTTACTTACTTACCAGGCAGCAGATATTTACTGAGCACCTATTATGTGCTGGGCACTATTTCAGACATGGGGCAGGGGGCACAGAATCATGACGAAATGGTGCATTAAAAGATGATTCTGCTCAGAGAGTGGAAAAAGCTCTCTAGGGAGGGAGGCTCCTGGAATGGCCCCCGTGAGCAGGACGATGGCGTGGACCCCGGGGTTGCTGTGGAAATGGACGAGAGTGGATGGACAGACGGGAGAGAGAGAGGGGAGTCTAGGAGGCACTGGGGACGGATCAGGTGTGGGGGCGAGCATTAGACTGAACTGTGCTGTTTTCCTTTTTTAAAATATGTTTTTATTGATTTCAGAGAGAGGGAGGGAGAAGGAGAGAGAGAAACATCAATGATGAGAGTCATTGATTAGCTGCCTCCTGCTCGCCCCCTGCTGGGGATCGAGGAGCCTGCAACTCAGGCATGTGCCCTGACCGGGAATCGAACCCCGACCTCCTGGATCCTAGGTCGACGCTCAACCTCTGAGCTAAATGGGCCGGGAAGGGTGCTTTGTAAAAACAAGCCAAAACCTGGTACTGATGAGACCAGAATCGTGGCCACACATACCTCGAGGGGCAGTCCCGGCTGGGACAGGGCTGCGACCCGGCCAGCGGCTTCTGCAGGTGACCGCACAGGGCCTCACTCACTTCCTGCCCGTCGGCCATCACACACTGGGCTCTCTGGACGCGGGTTCCCGGGCGGCCACAGGTGACAGGACACGATGTCCAGTTGCCAAGCTTCCAAAAAGGCTCTGCAGGAAGGAGAGGAAATGTCACAACAGCGCCGAATGAGAAACGATCCCGGGCTGGACAGGACGGGACGTGGCCCAGGACCACCGCAAGGTGTTATCTCCTGAGCCGCCTTCTGTTTCTCCGAGTAGCACAGAGAGAGAGAAAGCAATCTCGGAGCGCAAGGGGGGTCCTTTAAATCTCATTTCCCCTCAACGAACTCACTGCAACAACTGGAGGGAATGGTGGCCAGAGAGGGGCCCTCGGACCACAGCCTGGGAGGGGGGCTACTGTGGGCCAGCTGGGTCTGCCAGAAACACCCCAGCCGGGGGGGAGGCGCGCGGGAGCCTCCTCAGTGAGGACAGGAGAGGGTGGCCTCTCAGGGGAGCTCCAAAGTGCATCAGGCTGAGAAACGAAAGATGATTTAGTGGGAAGGTTAAAGAGGCATTTCCATCCCGCTCTGTTTATATACATGTGTGTGTATATACATATATATGTTTTTATTGATTTCAGAGAGAGGAAGGGAGAGGGAGAGAGAGAGAAACATCAATGATGAGAGTCATTGATCAGCTGCCTCCTGATCGCCCCCTGCTGGGGATCGAGGAGCCTGCAACCGGGGCCTGTGCCCTGACCGGGAATCGAACCAGCGACCTCTTGGTTCATGGGTTGACACTCAATCACTGAGCCACACCGGCTGGGCGGAGTGAATTAAAAAAAAATGTTTCCGTATGTGAAAGGTACATGTTGAACCACAGAAGACGGAGGGGCTGAGGAGTGTAGAGGGAAGAGGGAGCAATGCCGGGACTCCCCGGCGAGGGGGGAGTCGGGGTCAGGTGTTGAGGCCGAACAGGAAAGGCTCTTGATCCAGGGCAGGACGTTCATATCCCAGGGTGGGTCCTTAGGCCGAAAGTCACAACCGTCTAAGAGAAGAGCAGCTCTGAGCTAATGGTTCAAACCATCTCCTGCCCTTGTTTACTCCTTGGCTCCGGAGCCAACAAAGCGGGTCCTACATCGGACGGGAAGCCCGTGAGCTGGACAACCCTGAGCTGGACACCTACCCAGCAGGCGCAATACAGAGGCTGCTGCTGCGTTTCCCAGAGCGTTGGTGGCTCTGCAGACATAGGTTCCTTCATTGTCCAGGGAAACGTTCCGCAGCCACAGGGACCCGTTGAGAAGCACGGAGACGCTGTCGCTCAGGGGCCCTCCTCTCTTCGCCCACCTCACCGTGGGCCGGGGGACACCTGTGGAATGGAAACGAAGATGACGCCAAAGGCAGATTCCTTTAAGAACAAGGCTCGTGCCCTGGAAGGTTTGCTCAGTGGTTAGAGCATCGGCCTGCACACTGAAGGGTCCCGGGTTTGATTCCAGCCAAGGGCACGTACCTCGGTTGCAGGCTCGATCCCCGGCCCTGGTCGGGGCGCTTGCGAGAGGCAACCAATGGATGTGTCTCTTGCACATCAATGTTTCTCTCTCTCCCTCCCTCCCTCTCTTCCTCCCACTCTCTCTGAAAAGCAATGGAAGAAATATCTTCGGGTGTGAATTAGAAAAAAAAAAAAAAACTAGACTGGGCTTAGCGAATGGATGGATGGAATTTCCAACCACGGATGATTGATTGTTTGACCGGACGTAGGGCTCAGACAGGAGATTACCGGGAAGGTTTTGGTACAAGAGGTAGAAGTTGGGGGTACAGGGGGTGGGGGCTGTAGCCTTTTTGAGTGAGAGAAGAGATTTTAAATATGGTTAAAACATAATTTTAGCTCTTTCAAGGGTTTTGTATGGTTTTAAAAAAACGAGAGAAACATAGTAGAGGGGATGCATTTCAAAAACCACAGATGGAGAAAATAAATGAGCTTTCATTTAGAATTGGGTTGAAAGCACCAACCTGCGCGGTTCATAACGCAGGAGTAAGCCGACTGTTCTCAGGTTTTCTTTTTAAACGATTCTGAGGGTTACACGCAAAACGCTGTGGGTGAGCGTATTTTTTCTGGAGAGACGGTTCTTTTGGGGGGAGGCGGTGGTCAAAGGGATTTGTGACCAAGACGATAAATCGCTAGCACCGAACTCCGCGCTACACGATGTAAACCAATATCCTTTCG